AACCTGTCCATTGTGGTCACAAAATCTATGAGCTTGAAGTGCATGTTGAAGGCTGACTCAATCTTCATACAGTATTTGGTCATTTCAGGTGAAACAATAAATTTTTAAACTGTACTAGAACAATTTAATCACAAAGAAATATATTCGTGAAAATTTCCATGGTAAAAGCTAGCCTAAATTACCTTTTGAAGTTCGATCAAGTCATAAGAATTCCTTGGCTTGTTGCATGCATCATTCTTGATAAAGAACAATAATACAGATAAAGAACAATAATACAGATCCTCCTAACTTTATAATATTTTGACTTTACACTGGTGCAGTAGTGATGCACATTCAGTACTGTACATTTATTGATAGGATAAACTTGTATTCATTTATTTACTTTTCAGTACTGGTATTTGGTTACAGTAATTATTTGTTTACTTATTCAGTTACAGCAGTTATTTATTATTTATCATATCGTATATTCATATTCGACTTAGGATATTTTCAACTTATGATGGGTTCATCAAAATATAACCCCATAGTAAGTCGAGGAGCACCTGTACATTATCACTTACAGGACAGTATTCCAAATTACAGCTCTGTACTAGTGTTCAGCCGTGGGGCCACCACTTTATTACAGTAAGGATCGCCAGAGCAAGAGAAGCAGGGCTCGACTGAAGGGCTTCCACGCTATTTCTCCTCAGTCACTCAGCTCATGGACCTTTTGTGGAGTGACAAGTCTACCTGTTTCCACTACCAGTGGATCCAGGGGACTCACTCCATTAACTGTCTCTTCCCTCCCACCACGATAGTAACTTAAGCATAGTCTGACATTCTCATCATCGAGCACTGAAAAAGGTAATGTATTAGTTTAATTCTTAATGTTTTAAATTCAATTGTTTATGCAGAGCTACCTATCCCTCAGTAAAATTTTATTCTTTTCTGCGCTTCTCCTCTTTTGCCGTTTTTCTTTGTCCACCACTACGCTCTCTTCGTGTCGTCGGGAACAAACATGCGAATGATGGTGGTATCATTGAAAAAAGGGTCCCGACTTACAAGTAAGTTGCTTTCTCAGTGCTTCAACTTATGAGAGAGATGCTTGTAACAACCAGTTATCCATTAGAAAGCTGTACCATAGTGGGTAAGTGTGTCATGTGTTTGCATGACTGACATTTGTGAAATAAATATTTTCTTGATAACACATTGCTGTGCAAAAGAAGAAAATTAAAGGTGAATACAGGAAAGAGTAAGGTTATGAGGATAACAAAAAGATTAGGTGATGAAAGATTGAATATCAGATTGGAGGGAGAGAGTATGGAGGAGGTGAACGTATTCAGATATTTGGGAGTGGACGTGTCAGCGGATGGGTCTATGAAAGATGAGGTGAATCATAGAATTGATGAGGGAAAAAGAGTGAGTGGTGCACTTAGGAGTCTGTGGAGACAAAGAACTTTGTCCTTGGAGGCAAAGAGGGGAATGTATGAGAGTATAGTTTTACCAACGCTCTTATATGGGTGTGAAGCGTGGGTGATGAATGTTGCAGCGAGGAGAAGGCTGGAGGCAGTGGAGATGTCATGTCTGAGGGCAATGTGTGGTGTGAATATAATGCAGAGAATTCGTAGTTTGGAAGTTAGGAGGAGGTGCGGGATTACCAAAACTGTTGTCCAGAGGGCTGAGGAAGGGTTGTTGAGGTGGTTCGGACATGTAGAGAGAATGGAGCGAAACAGAATGACTTCAAGAGTGTATCAGTCTGTAGTGGAAGGAAGGCGGGGTAGGGGTCGGCCTAGGAAGGGTTGGAGGGAGGGGGTAAAGGAGGTTTTGTGTGCGAGGGGCTTGGACTTCCAGCAGGCATGCGTGAGCGTGTTTGATAGGAGTGAATGGAGACAAATGGTTTTTAATACTTGACGTGCTGTTGGAGTGTGAGCAAAGTAACATTTATGAAGGGATTCAGGGAAACCGGCAGGCCGGACTTGAGTTCTGGAGATGGGAAGTACAGTGCCTGCACTCTGAAGGAGGGGTGTTAATGTTGCAGTTTTAAAAACTGTAGTGTAAAGCACCCTTCTGGCAAGACAGTGATGGAGTGAATGATGGTGAAAGTTTTTCTTTTTCGGGCCACCCTGCCTTGGTGGGAATCGGCCGGTGTGATAATAAAAAAAAAAAAAATAAATATAACACATTGCATCTTTTGGACCTCGTTCGTAAAATTGTATCCTCAAGCCGGGGGGGATCCCCCCACCCCCTGTACATCCCTATAATGCTAACTTGGTGAATTGCTCTTGCTATAGATCTATAATACAAATTGTAATTAATAGTGGCAATTCTTCTGCAGTCTGCTAAGGTGTTCGTAAAGAAGATGATGCAGTACGTACCTACAATAGGATGGGCTTGGCGTTTCTCCGATACGATATTCCTTAACCGCAATTGGCAGGAGGATAAAACAATAATGCAATCACAAATAAAGGAATTTTTTGACTACCCTTACCCTGTCTGGGTAAGTATGATTTTTATCATTATTATTTTTCTTTTAATTCTCATTATAATTATAATTACCATTGTAATTATAATTGTAATTATTATTTTTCTTTTAATTCTCATTATAATTATAATTACCATTGTAATTATAATTGTTATATTCATCAGTTTTTTCACCTAGGTGGCCTCCTCCTGCCAAAGCAGATTGGCCCAAAGAAAAAGCATTTACCATTATTCTTTCAGAAGTGTGCCTACATTACAATCTAGATTACCCTCTGACTGCAATGTCCCCACTCCAGGACTCAGTATCCCAGAATTCCTATAGAAGTTACCATGCTCACACCCCAACAGCACATCATTAAAAACATCTTGTCTCCATTCACTCCTATCTAATACATACTCACAAGCCTGCTGGATGCTCAAGCCCCTTATACTAGAAAACACTTTTATGCTCTTCAGCCATTCCTGGGATGACCCCTGCCCCTCCTCCTTTCTATCTCAGAGGTAGTAGGTTGGTAGACAGCAACCACCCAGGGAAGTACTACCGTCCTGCCAGATGACTGTGAAACACAAACCTGTAACTGTTTTGCATGATGGTAGGATTGCTGGTTTCTTTTTCTGTCTCATAAACACGCTAGATAACAGGGATATCTTGCTACTCCTACTTACACTTTGGTCACACTTCACAGACACGCACATGCATATATATATACATACATCTAGGTTTTTCTCCTTTTTTCTAAATAGCTCTTGTTCTTCTTTATTTCTTCTATTGTCCATGGGGAAGTGGAAAAGAATCTTTCCTCCGTAAGCCATGCGTGTCGTATGAGGCGACTAAAATGCCGGGAGCAATGGGCTAGTAACCCCTTCTCCTGTAGACATTTACTAAAAAAAGAGAAGAAGAAAAAACTTTATAAAACTGGGATGCTTAAATGTGCGTGGATGTAGTGCGGATGACAAGAAACAGATGATTGCTGATGTTATGAATGAAAAGAAGTTGGATGTCCTGGCCCTAAGCGAAACAAAACTGAAGGGGGTAGGAGAGTTTCAGTGGGGGGAAAATAAATGGGATTAAATCTGGAGTATCTGAGAGAGTTAGAGCAAAGGAAGGGGTAGCAGTAATGTTAAATGATCAGTTATGGAAGGAGAAAAGAGAATATGAATGTGTAAATTCAAGAATTATGTGGATTAAAGTAAAGGTTGGATGCGAGAAGTGGGTCATAATAAGCGTGTATGCACCTGGAGAAGAGAGGAATGCAGAGGAGAGAGAGAGATTTTGGGAGATGTTAAGTGAATGTATAGGAGCCTTTGAACCAAGTGAGAGAGTAATTGTGGTAGGGGACCTAAATGCTAAAGTAGGAGAAACTTTTAAAGAGGGTGTGGTAGGTAAGTTTGGGGTGCCAGGTGTAAATGATAATGGGAGCCCTTTGATTGAACTTTGTATAGAAAGGGGTTTAGTTATAGGTAATACGTATTTTAAGAAAAAGAGGATAAATAAGTATACAAGATATGATGTAGGGCGAAATGACAGTAGTTTGTTGGATTATGTATTGGTAGATAAAAGACTGTTGAGTAGACTTCAGGATGTACATGTTTATAGAGGGGCCACAGATATATCAGATCACTTTCTAGTTGTAGCTACACTGAGAGTAAAAGGTAGATGGGATACAAGGAGAATAGAAGCATCAGGGAAGAGAGAGGTGAAGGTTTATAAACTAAAAGAGGAGGCAGTTAGGGTAAGATATAAACAGCTATTGGAGGATAGATGGGCTAATGAGAGCATAGGCAATGGGGTCGAAGAGGTATGGGGTAGGTTTAAAAATGTAGTGTTAGAGTGTTCAGCAGAAGTTTGTGGTTACAGGAAAGTGGGTGCAGGAGGGAAGAAGAGCGATTGGTGGAATGATGATATAAAGAGAGTAGTAAGGGAGAAAAAGTTAGCATATGAGAAGTTTTTACAAAGTAGAAGTGATGCAAGGAGGGAAGAGTATATGGAGAAAAAGAGAGAGGTTAAGAGAGTGGTGAAGCAATGTAAAAAGAGAGCAAATGAGAGAGTGGGTGAGATGTTATCAACAAATTTTGTTGAAAATAAGAAAAAGTTTTGGAGTGAGATTAAAAAGTTAAAAAAGCCTAGAGAACAAATGGATTTGTCAGTTAAAAATAGGAGAGGAGAGTTATTAAATGGAGAGTTAGAGGTATTGGGAAGATGGAGGGAATATTTTGAGGAATTGTTAAATGTTGATGAAGATAGGGAAGCTGTGATTTCGTGTATAGGGCAAGGAGGAACAACATCTTGTAGGAGTGAGGAAGAGCCAGTTGTGAGTGGGGGGGAAGTTCGTGAGGCAGTAGGTAAAATGAAAGGGGGTAAGGCAGCCGGGATTGATGGGATAAAGATAGAAATGTTAAAGCAGGTGGGGATATAGTTTTGGAGTGGTTGGTGCAATTATTTAATAAATGTATGGAAGAGGGTAAGGTACCTAGGGATTGGCAGAGAGCATGCATAGTTCCTTTGTATAAAGGCAAAGGGGATAAAAGAGAGTGCAAAAATTATAGGGGGATAAGTCTGTTGAGTATACCTGGTAAAGTGTATGGTAGAGTTATTATTGAAAGAATTAAGAGTAAGACGGAGAATAGGATAGCAGATGAACAAGGAGGCTTTAGGAAAGGTAGGGGGTGTGTGGGGCCAGGTGTTTACAGTGAAACATATAAGTGAACAGTATTTAGATAAGGCTAAAGAGGTCTTTGTGGCATTTATGGATTTGGAAAAGGCGTATGACAGGGTGGATAGGGGGGCAATGTGGCAGATATTGCAAGTGTATGGTGTAGGAGGTAGGTTACTGAAAGCAGTGAAGAGTTTTTACGAGGATAGTTAGGCTCAAGTTAGAGTATGTAGGAAAGAGGGAAATTTTTTCCCAGTAAAAGTAGGCCCTAGACAAGGATGTGTGATGTCACCGTGGTTGTTGAATATATTTATAGATGGGGTTGTAAGAGAAGTAAATGCGAGGGTCTTGGCAAGAGGCGTGGAGTTAAAAGATAAAGAATCACACACAAAGTGGGAGTTGTCACAGCTGCTCTTTGCTGATGACACTGTGCTCTTGGGAGATTCTGAAGAGAAGTTGCAGAGATTGGTGGATGAATTTGGTAGGGTGTGCAAAAGAAGAAAATTAAAGGTGAATACAGGAAAGAGTAAGGTTATGAGGATAACAAAAAGATTAGGTGATGAAAGATTGGATATCAGATTGGAGGGAGAGAGTATGGAGGAGGTGAACGTATTCAGATATTTGGGAGTGGACGTGTCAGCGGATGGGTCTATGAAAGATGAGGTGAATCATAGAATTGATGAGGGAAAAAGAGTGAGTGGTGCACTTAGGAGTCTGTGGAGACAAAGAACTTTGTCCTTGGAGGCAAAGAGGGGAATGTATGAGAGTATAGTTTTACCAACGCTCTTATATGGGTGTGAAGCGTGGGTGATGAATGTTGCAGCGAGGAGAAGGCTAGAGGCAGTGGAGATGTCATGTCTGAGGGCAATGTGTGGTGTGAATATAATGCAGAGAATTCGTAGTTTGGAAGTTAGGAGGAGGTGGGGGATTACCAAAACTGTTGTCCAGAGGGCTGAGGAAGGGTTGTTGAGGTGGTTCGGACATGTAGAGAGAATGGAGCGAAACAGAATGACTTCAAGAGTGTATCAGTCTGTAGTGGAAGGAAGGCGGGTAGGGGTCGGCCTAGGAAAGGTTGGAGGGAGGGGGTAAAGGAGGTTTTGTGTGCGAGGGGCTTGGACTTCCAGCAGGCATGCGTGAGCGTGTTTGATAGGAGTGAATGGAGACAAATGGTTTTTAATACTTGACGTGCTGTTGGAGTGTGAGCAAAGTAACATTTATGAAGGGATTCAGGGAAACCGGCAGGCCGGACTTGAGTCCTGGAGATGGGAAGTACAGTGCCTGCACTCTGAAGGAGGGGTGTTAATGTTGCAGTTCAAAAACTGTAGTGTAAAGCACCCTTCTGGCAAGACAGTGATGGAGTGAATGATGGTGAAAGTTTTTCTTTTTCGGGCCACCCTGCCTTGGTGGGAATCGGCCAGTGTGATAATAAAAAAATAATAATTTATATACATGCTCTTCATCATTCCATCCCTCTCCATACTCTCTCTATATTATTTAAATAGTTGACAACACTGACAGGTTGATGAACGAGAGACTGGTGCAGCATTAGGGTAGCTTTATTGTGGAAACATTTCACTAGCCAGTGACTTCTTCAGTTCAGTGCAGAGAAGGATGGTGGAAGATGAGGAGGAGGGACTGATTGCCTCAAACTACTGTTCTTCTCTGCATTGGTCTGATGAAGCCATGGCTGGTGAAACATTTCACAATAAAGATACGCAAATGTTGCACAAGTGTCTAATTAAAGGATCCTCTTTACATGCTCATACCATCTCAAACAACCCCTCCTCAGCCTCAGCCTTTGTGATGCCACATCTCTTAAATTTTTCTACTGTTAACATTAATATTCACACCACACATTGTTCTCATACCCTTTCATCTCTGCTGTCGAGCCATCTCACAGGAGCATGCAAAACCATACCTAACATCTATTTAAAAATGTATGTGCCCCTATACTCTGGTACATTCCATTTTTTTCCTTCATAAATAAGTTTTATTTTCATAGATGCCCCAACACACCATTCATCTTTTTCCCTCGTATTATGTGGTTCACCTTGTGTAACGCACCATTCATCATTTTCCCTCGTATTCTGTGGTTCACTTTCTTCCATAGACCCATCTATTGACATGTCCACTTCCAGATATCTTAATACATCAATTTCCTCCATGGGTCCCTCCTTTCAATCTGATATTCAGTCTGTCATTCCTAGACATTTTGTTATTCTAATCACCTTACATTGACTTTTAATTTCCTTTTTTTGCATACCCTCCCAAAATTTGTCTACCAACCTTTGCAACTTGTATTCAGAACTCCCTAAGAACTATGTCACCAGCAAAGAATGACTGTGACAACTTCCACTGTATCGATCCAGCGTCTTTCGTTCTATACTTCTTTCTTTCAACACACCGGCCGTAATCCCACCGAGGCGGGGTGGCCCAAAAGGAAAAACGAAAGTTTCTCCTTTTACATTTAGTAATATATACAGGAGAAGAGGTTACTAGCCCCTTGCTTCTGGCATTTTAGTCGCCTCTTACAACACACATGGCTTATGGAGGAAGAATTCTGTTCCACTTCCCCATGGAGATAAGAGGAAATAAACAAGAATAAGAACTAGGAAGAAAATAGAAGAAAACCCAGAGGGGTGTATATATATGTGCTTGTATATGTATGTGTAGTGTGACCTAAGTGTAAGTAGAAGTAGCAAGGCATACCTGAAATCTTGCATGTTCATGAGACAGAAAAAAGGATACCAGCAATCCTACCATCATGTAAAACAATTACAGGCTTTTGTTTTACACTCACTTGGCAGGACGGTAGTACCTCCCTGGGCGGTTGCTGTCTACCACCCTGCTACTTATAAGTTCTATACTTATTATTTATTAACACATCGGCCGATTCCCACCAAGGCAGGGTGGCCTGAAAAAGAAAAACTTTCGTCGTCATTCACTCCACTGTCTTGCCAGTCTTTACACTACAGTTATAAAACTGCAACATTAACACCCCTCCTTCAGAGTGTAAACACTGTACTTCCCATCTCCAGGACTCGAGTCTGGCCTGCCGGTTTCCCTGAATCCCTTCATAAATGTTACTTTGCTCACACTCCAACAGCACGTCAAGTATTAAAAACAATTTGTCTCCATTCACTCTTATTAAATATGCTCATGCACACTTGCTGGGAGTTCAAGCCCCTCGCACACAAAACCTCCTTTACCCCCTCCCTCCAACCCTTCCTAGGCCGACCCCTACCCCTCATTTCCTCCACTACAGATTTATACACTCTGTCATTCTGTTTTGTTTCATTCTCTCTACATGTCCGAACCACCTCAACAACCCCTCCTCAGCCCTCTGGATAATAGTTTTGGTAATCCCACGCCTTCTCCTAATTTCTGAACTACGAATTCTCTGCATTATACATATTCACACCACACGGTTCTATACCTCTTCCCAATATTCTAGCATTTAATATACTACTTAAACTAACATCTAGGCTGATTATTATTTGTACTTATGGAGAAAGTGTGAGGGTTTATTAATGAATACAGTCAGCTCACTTGTAAACTTCCTCTATATATTGTGTCTTTTTTTGTAATTGTGGTAAAACAAAATACAAAACTGATTTGTACATGGAAAGTCCTTCATAGTATGTGTTATTAAATTTTGAAAAAACTTTTTTATTCAAATTTACAAACCACACTGTAAAGAGGAGCTTTTTGTACTAGCTTTTTTGTACATACTAGTTTAGGAAATAAAACACCATCTGTACTTATGTGATCAGTGATCAACCCATACATAGTTTCATTATTTATAATGTTATTACTAAATGTAAAATGAAGAAAAACTTGCATTTCTTCTTTTTCGGGTCACGGTTCTTCAATGGATAAGGACCGGTGTATGCTTCCTCTTTCTGATGTTAATTTTTAAATCAGATGCTGCTGTTTGCCGAGGGGACGAGGTTTACGCCAGCAAAGCATGTAGCAAGTATGGAGTTTGCTCGGAAGAGAGGTCTACCAGAGTTGAAGCGACATCTGATCCCTCGTACTCGAGGGTTTATACAATGTGTACAGTCGCTCAAGGGAAATTTCCCTGTCATTTATGATGTGACTGTTGGCTTTAACACGTAAGTTTAGAATTTAATTTTCTCTGCCATTTGTAACTCCTCTCTATATCCAGTTTTATTGAGTTAGAAAGCAATTAGTCAGAGAAGATGGTGACATCATAAGAGAGAGAGTTAAGGTTGCATGTATCGAGAGGGAACACCTGTCTTTACACTAGCTTGCCCAGCTAGTATAACAGTGGTGCAGTACCTGGTATAGTGACTGCTATGTAAGCATGGTTTCTAGAGTGTATCCCATGGATACTTTACAGATATCTTTTGTAAGGAACTGTCAGATGTATTAAAATTAGATGAGGAATAAGCCATGGAATGGGTGGAGATTAAACCCATGGCAAGTGAGTGGTAAAACTCCAGGCCAGTGCTTAAACCACTGAATTAATCTTAATTTAGTCAGCTGGCACAGTAACTTACGCACTGGCCTGGAGTTTTACGAATCGCTCGCCATACATGAGAAATTAAATGCTGCAGTCATAGGAAATTTTTAAAATTAATATGATTAAATAATTACTGAGGATGGGGCTACCACAAGCATAGCTCTTCTCTATAACTACTAACCAGTACCTTAAGCTAGCCTTAATGCCTTAAGTGTCTGTGCTGTAATTTTACAGGTTTGAAGTCTGTCCATGCTGTAAAACTATGTGATGAGCTCAGCACACTCAGATAAGCTGTGAACAGTAAATTTGGGCCTAGACATGAAAGAATGGGTCGGTGCAGTGTGTACCACATAAAAAAAAATCCTGCCCCATGCAGTGCATAATGAGGAAAAAATTGCAACCATATTTTTGGTTTAAAATAGTGATTCTGAGGTGTATTTTTGGTGGTTTTTATCATTGTATTCTCAGTTTCTTGGTATCATTTGATAGAATGGAAGGTATATTACAAAAATAGAGATGATTTTGATTGGTTTCTGGACTGTAAGTAGCTTGCAATTGAGCTCCAAGTAGCAGAAATAATAGATTTTTACCAATATTCCAGAGTCAAAACCAATCACATCACTTGTCCAATACACATCCAACTGGTGGATCTGATGCATTCGTGAATATGCTGACATTATTTATACAATTATTACAATATTGCCTAACAGTAAATCGTTTATTTTTTTTTTTATAAGCTATAATCTTTTATATACTGTACAGCAAAGAGGGTGAAGAGCCAACATTGCAAAACATGCTGCGTGGAAGGAAAGTGGTGAGTGAGATATACGTACGACGCATCCTTCTGGATGAAGTTCCCGACGACGATGACGGGGCCTCTAAATACCTCCATGATTTATATAGGTCAAAGGTATTATTTTTTTTATTATTATCACACTGGCCGATTCCCACCAAGGCAGGGTGGCCCGAAAAAGAAAAACTTTCACCATCATTCACTCCATCACTGTCTTGCCAGAAGGGTGCTTTACACTACAGTTTTTAAACTGCAACATTAACACCCCTCCTTCAGAGTGCAGGCACTGTACTTCCCATCTCCAGGACTCAAGTCCGGCCTGCCGGTTTCCCTGAACCCCTTCATAAATGTTACTTTGCTCACACTCCAACAGCACGTCAAGTATTAAAAACCATTTGTTATTGCCACTACATTTGCCTCCTTTTACCCTTCACTTCCCTTTCTATCTCGTCCCACTAAAACTACTCTCCCTACTTTCTACTGCTACCACTACTTTTCTTTCCTCTTTTGGTACCATCTCTGTCCATCTCGCCTATATATACTAGCTCCCTCCCTCTTTTGTGTTAGTGTGACTTTGTAGATGGTCCAAGTTGACCAAAACATTGTCATAAGCTCTCTGTGTATTGTCCCAGTCACAGTATTATGCCTTTTTGTCTGTTTGGGAGGAGCAAATGGCTGGAAATAATAATTGTGGTTTGGTAGAGGAGACATTGTTTTGTCAGAGGGTAATTTGACTGGGATGTCAGCACACTTCTGGAAAGATGGTGATTGAATGAATGATGGTTAATGTGTTTTCTTCTTTGAGTTACCCTGCCTTGGTGGGAGACAACTGTTGAGTTAAAATAAGAATACTTTAATCATTGGACTTTGTTCATTACAGTGTTTCTGAATCAGTTGATCCAGCAGATTTTGTTGTAGACTTGTGAAGTTTCACCATGGTGAAAACATTGAATGATGGTGAAAGTGTTTCTTTTTTGGGAAACAGTCGGCATGTTGAAAACGGGCTGTGAGGGTAGGGAGAATCTTCAAAATCAGTGACATTCGTAGATGCTGTTTTGTGCTATTATCATGAAGCTAATCTTACAGTTCTTTTCACAGTATTTCAACAGGTGGTCATAATAACCTCTGGTTGTAATGCACTTTTAATGTTGTTTTTAGTAACTGCATGTCAAACCAAGAACACAGTTTTCAGTTTAGAAATAAATTTTATTCATCTCTGAACTTTTGAAGAAAATGAACAATAAACTTATCCAGTATTGTCATAAGAATTTACTGAACGAAATATTTTATTTACAGGACCAGTTACTAGACAGCTACCTTAATACAGGGAGTTTCACTGAGGAGAATGACCTTCCTGATTATCCCAGTCATACAATGCCCAGGAGAACTTATTCACTTCTCAACATGATAGGATGGGCCTTATTTGTCCTCTCACAAATCCTTCGTTTCTATTACAACCTCATAACAAGTGGCTCTCTGCTCTCCATTTCATTTGCTGTTGGAATTGTCATATTTGGTAAGTATCTAATTTATTACCTCTGCACAGTACAGATGTATTTGTTACCTCAGAACATTAGGTGCATCTTGTTTGTGACTTGCAATGGTGGTTTATAACTCAGTGGTAGCATCTTCAGCTCACATCTGAGAGATATGGGAGCAGTTCTGGGGCAGGTGGAGAAGTTATGCATGTTTCCTTTCATTTGCTGCTTGTGTTCACCTACCAATCAATAGGTAACCTAATGTTAGCTAGCTATTGTGGGGTAATAGTATACTTTAGAAATGAGCTGAGGTAAGATAACAGCTCTTAACTTGTTAATTCAAAGGTTTTAGGATCTGTTTTTTTTTTTTTTTCTGCTATGTCTTGTGTGGAGCGTCTAAACTTTCATTAGCATGAACAAACAAAAGAGTGGATGGGGGCTTGAACTGTTGTCTGTAAATTGACAGTCTGATGTTTGAGCCCTTTGTCCACCCATTTGTTTATTCATTGTCAGTTGTTTATTACAACTTAATATGATTTCAGTAGCATGTTTATTAATCTCTCTTAAAATACAATGATCTGAGATATGCCTCCATTAGGTCGCTTATTACGACTTAATCTGAGTTCACGTATTAATCTGTTAACGATTCTGGGATACTTTTTACTCCATAGCCCAATCTTTGACTAGGCCTCTTTAATTGGAACGAAAATAATACAGGTATGAGAGTAGGAAATGAACAAGAATGTATACTGAGTATACATTTTCCTTTACAAGAAAATGTATACTCAGTATAAAGGTAAGAGTATTACGAAGTTTGTAAGGATTATCTGTTATCTTACATGTTATTGATAAAGTAAAGATCAATAGATGGGCTAATGAGAGCATAGGCAATGGGGTCGAAGAGGTATGGGGTAGGTTTAAAAATGTAGTGTTAGAGTGTTCAGCAGAAGTTTGTGGTTACAGGAAAGTGGGTGCAGGAGGGAAGAGGAGCGATTGGTGGAATGATGATGTAAAGAGAGTAGTAAGGGAGAAAAAGTTAGCATATGAGAAGTTTTTACAAAGTAGAAGTGATGCAAGGAGGGAAGAGTATATGGAGAAAAAGAGAGAAGTTAAGAGAGTGGTGAAGCAATGTAAAAAGAGAGCAAATGAGAGAGTGGGTGAGATGTTATCAACAAATTTTGTTGAAAATAAGAAAAAGTTTTGGAGTGAGATTAACAAGTTAAGAAAGCCTAGAGAACAAATGGATTTGTCAGTTAAAAATAGGAGAGGAGAGTTATTAAATGGAGAGTTAGAGGTATTGGGAAGATGGAAGGAATATTTTGAGGAATTGTTAAATGTTGATGAAGATAGGGAAGCTGTGATTTCGTGTATAGGGCAAGGAGGAATAACATCTTGTAGGAGTGAGGAAGAGCCAGTTGTGAGTGTGGGGGAAGTTCGTGAGGCAGTAGGTAAAATGAAAGGGGGTAAGGCAGCCGGGATTGATGGGATAAAGATAGAAATGTTAAAAGCAGGTGGGGATATAGTTTTGGAGTGGTTGGTGCAATTATTTAATAAATGTATGGAAGAAGGTAAGGTACCTAGGGATTGGCAGAGAGCATGCATAGTTCCTTTGTATAAAGGCAAAGGGGATAAAAGAGAGTGCAAAAATTATAGGGGGATAAGTCTGTTGAGTGTACCTGGTAAAGTGTATGGTAGAGTTATAATTGAAAGAATTAAGAGTAAGACGGAGAATAGGATAGCAGATGAACAAGGAGGCTTTAGGAAAGGTAGGGGGTGTGTGGACCAGGTTGTTTACAGTGAAAACATATAAGTGAACAGTATTTAGATAAGGCTAAAGAGGTCTTTGTGGCATTTATGGATTTGGAAAAGGCGTATGACAGGGTGGATAGGGGGGGCAATGTGGCAGATGTTGCAAGTGTATGGTGTAGGAGGTAGGTTACTGAAAGCAGTGAAGAGTTTTTACGAGGATAGTGAGGCTAAAGTTAGAGTATGTAGGAAAGAGGAAAAATTTTCCCAGTAAAAGTAGGCCTTAGACAAGGATGTGTGATGTCACCGTGGTTGTTTAATATATTTATAGATGGGGTTGTAAGAGAAGTAAATGCGAGGGTCTTGGCAAGAGGCGTGGAGTTAAAAGATAAAGAATCACACACAAAGTGGGAGTTGTCACAGCTGCTCTTTGCTGATGACACTGTGCTCTTGGGAGATTCTGAAGAGAAGTTGCAGAGATTGGTGGATGAATTTGGTAGGGTGTGCAAAAGAAGAAAATTAAAGGTGAATACAGGAAAGAGTAAGGTTATGAGGATAACAAAAAGATTAGGTGATGAAAGATTGAATATCAGAATTGGAGGGAGAGAGTATGGAGGAGGTGAACGTATTCAGATATTTGGGAGTGGACGTGTCAGCAGATGGGTCTATGAAAGATGAGGTGAATCATAGAATTGATGAGGGAAAAAGAGTGAGTGGTGCACTTAGGAGTCTGTGGAGACAAAGAACTTTGTCCTTGGAGGCAAAGAGGGGAATGTATGAGAGTATAGTTTTACCAACGCTCTTATATGGGTGTGAAGCGTGGGTGATGAATGTTGCAGCGAGGAGAAGGCTGGAGGCAGTGGAGATGTCATGTCTGAGGGCAATGTGTGGTGTGATATAATGCAGAGAATTCGTAGTTTGGAAGTTAGGAGGAGGTGCGGGATTACCAAAACTGTTGTCCAGAGGGCTGAGGAAGGGTTGTTGAGGTGGTTCGGACATGTAGAGAGAATGGAGCGAAACAGAATGACTTCAAGAGTGTATCAGTCTGTAGTGGAAGGAAGGCGGGGTAGGGGTCGGCCTAGGAAGGGTTGGAGGGAGGGGGTAAAGGAGGTTTTGTGTGCGAGGGGCTTGGACTTCCAGCAGGCATGCGTGAGCGTGTTTGATAGGAGTGAATGGAGACAAATGGTTTTTAATACTTGACGTGCTGTTGGAGTGTGAGCAAAGTAACATTTATGAAGGGATTCAGGGAAACCGGCAGGCCGGACTTGAGTCCTGGAGATGGGAAGTACAGTGCCTGCACTCTGAAGGAGGGGTGTTAATGTTGCAGTTTAAAAACTGTAGTGTAAAGCACCCTTCTGGCAAGACAGTGATGGAGTGAATGATGGTGAAAGTTTTTCTTTTTCGGGCCACCCTGCCTTGGTGGGAATCGGCCGGTGTGATAATAAAAAAAAAAAGATCAATAGCCCTACCAAGAGTACACAACATTTTAACTGGCTTCTTTTTCTCACTCATATAAAAGCATTTCTTGCTCTCGTTCCTGTGCCATTTTCTCTTCCTGTTTAGGAGGCCTAGGCCAAGACTGGCCCATGGAGAAAAAAGATGATCCCAGAATCACTAGCAGAATAATAATAATAACCATCCAGTGAGTACCATGGATGGAGGGGTATTTCAGATCACTGTATTTTAAGAGAGATTGGTGGATGAGTAATTAAATTTTAGATCCCTCACATTTTCTCCAGGTAAATATTTCTAGGAGATAGGATGGTGACCAAAAATGTGTAAAAGTGGCATAATATAACTACCGAATATAGCTACTTGTAACTTGAATGTTATGAGAGGAAGATGCACGAAAAAATTAATTGAGGATTTTAATATATAATGAATGTAATAGGTGAAGTCTGGTCTGAGACCCAAATGCAGTGATGGTAAGTCCTGAAACCATTAATAGATAGAGACCCTAATTTTTTTTTCAACAACCCAGCTGTATCCCACTGAGGCAGGGTGACCTAAAAAGAAAAACAAAAGTTTTTCATTTAAAATTGAGTAATTTTTAATAATTTTGAGGAGATTCCTTATTTTTATGTACTTACTAATTTATATTCTTCTCTTTCAGCCTACCTAGGATTGTACAAGATGATTGGACTGACAAAAATTGACAAAGGATCAAAATATGGAAGTACAGACAATAAAAAGAAAGATTAATGTACCTGTATATGGTAATGTTCAATAGAGAAAAATCTCCGTAGTGTTATGAATGTAGACAGTCACTACTAGCATTTTTTTTCATTAAAGTGCTCAGACATCTCTAATTAATATTTGAGACCTTTCAGGTTTAGGGTTACAGTAATTTAGTCAATTTTATATTTTATTTACTATCATAGGGTTGTATTTTCAATGCCAGTATTTTATGTGAGAACTCATCTTTAGTTTCAAATGATTTTATTACTAGTTTTTTAATCGTTGCTAGGAACTGTAATTAATAGGCTGAAATGCGACATGCTCACTTTGCGAATATAAAATTTCATCTTTTGACTTCATTTTATTTACGTGAACTTCTTATGAGATTCAACCACGAATGTTGTATATAGGCTGCATTTGGAGTTTAGCAGGTATTTGAGGTGCTGTACTGTGATTGTGGAATTGTAGCAGTGATGTTCAGTAAGAGAGTATTGTGGAATTGTAGCAGCCATGTTCAGTAACAGAATATTGTGGAATTGTAGCAGCCATGTTCAGTAACAGAATATTGTGGAATTGTAGCAGTGATGTTCAGTAACAGAATATTGTGGAATTGTAGCAGCCATGTTCAGTAACAGAATATTGTGGAATTGTAGCAGTCATGTATTTATTTATTTATTTATTTATTTATTTATTTATTTTTGCATTTATGGATTTAGAAAAGGCATATGATAGAGTGGATAGAGGAGCAATGTGGCAGATGTTGCAAGTATATGGAATAGGTGGTAAGTTATTAAATGCTGTAAAGAGTTTTTATGAGGATAGTGAGGCTCAGGTTAGGGTGTGTAGAAGAGAGGGAGACTACTTCCCGGTAAAAGTAGGTCTTAGACAGGGATGTGTAATGTCACCATGGTTGTTTAATATATTTATAGATGGGGTTGTAAAGGAAGTAAATGCTAGGGTGTTTGGAGAGAGGGGTGGGATTAAATTATGGGGAATCAAATTCAAAATGGGAATTGACACAGTTACTTTTTGCTGATGATACTGTGCTTATGGGAGATTCTAAAGAAAAATTGCAAAGGTTAGTGGATGAGTTTGGGAATGTGTGTAAAGGTAGAAAGTTGAAAGTGAACATAGAAAAGAGTAAGGTGATGAGGGTGTCAAATGATTTAGATAAAAAAAAATTGGATATCAAATTGGGGAGGAGGAGTATGGAAGAAGTGAATGTTTTCAGATACTTGGGAGTTGACGTGTCGGCGGATGGATTTATGAAGGATGAGGTTAATCATAGAATTGATGAGGGAAAAAAGGTGAGTGGTGCGTTGAGGTATATGTGGAGTCAAAAAACGTTATCTATGGAGGCAAAGAAGGGAATGTATGAAAGTATAGTAGTACCAACACTCTTATATGGGTGTGAAGCTTGGGTGGTAAATGCAGCAGCGAGGAGACGGTTGGAGGCAGCGGAGATGTCCTGTTTAAGGGCAATGTGTGGTGTAAATATTATGCAGAAAATTCGGAGTGTGGAAATTAGGAGAAGGTGTGGAGTTAATAAAAGTATTAGTCAGAGGGCAGAAGAGGGGTTGTTGAGGTGGTTTGGTCATTTAGAGAGAATGGATCACAGTAGAATGACATGGAAAGCATATAAATCTATAGGGGAAGGAAGGCGGGGTAGGGGTCGTCCTCGAAAAGGTTTGGAGAGAGGGGGTAAAGGAGGTTTTGTGGGTAAGGGGCTTGGACTTCCAGCAAGCGTGCGTGAGCGTGTTAGATAGGAGTGAATGGAGACGAATGGTACTTGGGACCTGACGATCTGTTGGAGTGTGAGCAGGGTAATATTTAGTGAAGGGATTCAGGGAAACCGGTTATTTTCATATAGTCGGACTTGAGTCCTGGAAATGGGAAGTACAATGCCTGCACTTTAAAGGAGGGGTTTGGGATATTGGCAGTTTGGAGGGATATGTTGTGTATCTTTATATGTTTATGCTTCTAGACTGTTGTATTCTGAGCACCTCTGCAAAAACAGTGATAATGTGCGAGTGTGGTGAAAGTGTTGAATGATGATGAAAGTATTTTCTTTTTGGGGATTTTCTTTCTTTTTTGGGTCACCTGCTCGGTGGGAGACGGCCGACTTGTTGAAAAAAAAAAAAAAAAAAAAAATGTTCAGTAACAGAATATTGTGGAATTGTAGCAGTCATGTTCAGTAACAGA